CTCTTTTTAGTGTTTTTTTTTCTTATTTTTGGGGGGAGATTGAAGGATTATAGATGGGATATATTTGAGTGGTAATATTTTTTGTTTAGTAGTTGTTTCTATTTACAAATTTATATTTTAATGATACTATTAATTATATGAAATGAAAATTTTCTTTATGTTAATTAGGAAAGGATTATTGCTTAAATTACATATATAGATATAATAGTGTTTTTTAATTATGTGAATTTTTTTTTTTTTTTTAGTTCATTTAAGGATTAGGTAGATTATAAATTAGTATAGTTGTAATATTTTATTTAGAGTTAAAGGGGTGTGTAGATTGTTAGTATTATAATTGTTTTAATTGGATTAATGATTGTAGAAGAATTATGGAAATATGAACTTGATCCTGTATTCAGCTCCGGGAAGCCGAGGAGGGTATAGGGGGAAAGCTAAAGTTAATGTATTGTGTATATTGGAAGATGTATATTTTACAAAAAATAAAAAATTTTACAAGAATGTGGCTAAGGCTTCATAACCCTTCAGTGGATTGAGAGAAGGGAACCCTCTCCTTTCCCTCTCCAGCTTGCCAACATCATAGAGCGCAAACAATAAGGATTCCCAATAAGGATTCTTATTAGACTCTAAGCAGGGAGTCTACAGTTGCCAGCCAGCTAGGCTGATTTTGCAGATGTATTTGGAGAAGAGGAAGCCTCAGCTCTTCCATTGCATAGAGACTGTGATTATATTATTAATTTGAATCCAAAGGCAAAGATCCCAGCCAAGAGGCAGCATCCAATGTCAACCAAGGAGTTAGCAATGTTGTAACAGTATATGGATATTAATCTGAAGAAGGGGTTTATTAGGCCAATAAAATCATGCTCTTCTACACCTACCTTTTTCATTCCTAAGAAGCAGCCAGATTCACAAGCAGCTGGGGCTCAAAGCCCAGAAGGGGAAGATCCCATGTGCACAGTCCATGATTACAAGGACCTCAACAAGATCACAGTCCAGGATTATTATCCACTTCCTCTAATATTGGATCTACTAGATAAGTTGCAGAAGGCTCGCATATTTACAAAGCCGGATCTCAGGAATACATATAACAGTTCTGTGCATTCCTTAATTGTTATGACTTCTTTCCGAGCATTTTATGGGAGACACCCAAGATTTTTACCTACAACCTCCCGACAAGGGTCGGTTCCTAGCGCAATGAATTTCTTTCAAGAACAACAGGCAGTGCAAGCACTATTGAAGCAGCAAGCTGACTGAAACAAAATGAGCTTAGAAGAGGTCAGTGGATTCACATAAGAAGGATGGACTGCCAATTTCAGAGGGAGACAGTGTGTGGCTTTCAACTACCGTAGTTCTGCTTTCTGATGAACATAATCGGTTGACCAAAAAGGATATGAGAAGGATCCTCTTTCTACCTAGGCTGCCACTATTTTATGAGAAAGAGGAAACATAAAAGTGCACATATAATTCTAAAATTACTATAGAAATTAGTAGAATTAATGAAGAATGACGAGAAATCAGGCACAGTATAAATATTTCATTTAGCTGATGAAGAGTGAAGTGAAATCTCCATGGTTGGAGCAGATGTCTCAGCGTCACCCCAGATGTGTGAGAAAGATTCGGGGATGTCTTACCGCTAGTTATGAAAATAACAGTCTCAGTTAGCCCCTTGGAGAGAGGAAGAAATGTTATGTTTCAAATAGTCCCCAAACACAAGAATATTGTATGCATAGCACAGGAGCCTTCACCTTGACACCATATCGACTTTATGAAGCCTGTGTACCTTAAGCATTAGGCTTCTGGTTGCCAACTATAGATGGAAAGGAGAACAAAAAGTTCACAGATCCCTAATTTTAAATTCCCCCTAAAGAAAGAGGAAAGGATACATACAGTAAGTACACCCATAGAATGCCAAAGGTCACAACTTTT